GTTCAAAAAGTGCAAGTGTCGGACGACTCGTTATTTCGGGTCGAAAAAGTGTTGAAACGGAAAGGACGCCAGGTGTTGGTCCGGTGGAAAGGGTGGCCGGCCAAGTACGATAGTTGGATTCCCGCGCAACATGGTCCGCGTCAAAATCACCCCTCGAAAAAGAAAAAAGCGGGTACGGTTTCTCGATGAGGTCCTGGCGGATTCCAGTCGACCGCGGGCCACGTCGACACCCATTCCCGCCAGTGACGCCGACATTATGAAGTTCATCACCAAGAAAGCGGCAGAGCAAAAGCAAGCCCGTGGACCCTTGCAGTGGTGGGAAAAGTTGGCCAGTCCCACCAAGCAACAACGGACGTACGCCAATGCCTACCATCGAGCCGAAGAGTATGCCAAGAAACGAGGAGCCTTGCGGTCTCCACCCCAGAAAAAACAACGTCGACGCGCTGGGCGTCATCCCCCCATGCGCCAAAAGAAACCCCCTAAACCCAAGACCTGCATGACCCTGATGGAATTGGCCCGGGCCTTTCCCAACATTGCCCAGCAAGTGTGTTTTCATCCCAAACAATCGACCTTCAATTCAGTGGTGGGACGCGTCCCTCGCAGCAAACAGAAAGTGGCTACATGGCTATAAAAGGACCCTGCCCCCGTGGGGAGGAGACCACTCCTCATCATCATGAGTGCGATGAAACGCCTGACGCTCGTCAGCGATCCGACCAACGAGTTTCCCAACAATGCCAACAACAGTTTCAAGGTCCGACTGCCCGAACGGCTGTCGTTACCAGGCGCGGGGTGGCATGCCGCGTTGATGTCACTGACGGTCCCGGATCAAGGACAGAGTAATGCCGTCATCGCCACAGATCCTCATACCAAAGTCATCCAATTCAGTGTGACTTACTTGACGCGCAAATATGTGCTAGGGGAGTATCGACGGGTCAGTTTCAAGACCAAGGAGTACTATGTGGAATTGGAAGAAATCATGAGTACCAAACATCCTGTGACCTCAGGGAGCCTGTTTTGGCAACGAGCGATGCAAGAAGTGCATAACAAAACCATGGAGAAACTAATGTACGAACAAGATTATGCCAAGACCTTTGATGCGGATGAACGACCCCTGGTCAGTGTGAAAAAAAACTGGATGCCCATGATGACCTGGAAAGACAATGCCCTGATTTTGCATGCAGTGCCTAAAGGAGAGTTGCTAAACGGCAAGAAGACCAAAGCCACGAGCGCCTTTTCCCTGGATCTAGAGGTAGCGGAAAAGTTTGGCTTCATCGAACAACCCCAAGGCGTGGTAGGGCATGTGCTGGGCCCCAATCTCCAATTCACTTGCCCCACCGTGACCTATGATGGCCAAACACCCCCCAAGGATCCCTCGAATCGAACGGACTATTATTGGGAAGGAGCGCATTGTGCCGGGACGCAACCCTCGGATTTGACCAGGGATGTGATGGATCAAATGTTTGTGGTGAAAAATAAGAGGCTTCATCTGTCCAGGATGGTGGAATGGCAGTTGAACAACCTGGATGCCTCGTTTGAAAAAGTGGTGGGGACCCGTAAACGCACCGTCATGGTCTATACCGATCTCGTGGAATCCACCGTGGTGGGCAGTGGCAAGTTTCCCCTGTTACGGGAAGTGCAATTGTTGAGAACGGGGGATGGGGAAAGCACGGCCGAACCCCTGCACCATCAATGGATCAAAGTGCGAGGACAACAGATGGATATCTTGGAAGTGGAGATTGCCAGTACCAGTGGACCCCTGACCATCTTACCCCCGGGCAAAACCCTGGTGACCATCGGTCTCAAACAGCTATAAAAAGCCACCCACGCTTTGCGAGGGTCCAAACAGCACCTCGACGTGAGCCGACATGCGCGGAGGCAGTTTAACGCGATACCATACGCCCGTGGTCACCCAACAAGACTGCCAGGGTTTGGCCGAAGATTTGATCAAACTGGCGGGACCCCTGGTCCTACAGCAAGCCCAAGCGGGACTGCAAGATATTCAACGTGGCAAGAGTGCCGCGGACACGTGGGCGGATCGACGTGCGCAACTCACCCGCGGCTTGAAACGGAAAGGCCCCGCCATGGCCTGGGCGAGTGGCAAACACCAAGCCAAGAAAACCTATAAAAGAGCGACCCAACGCGTACGGGACATCTTTGGACGTTGAAGACAAGATGGTACGCGTGGGTGGTTTTCTCAAAACGCAAAATCGCATTCGACGGCAACGCGCCCGTGGACGGTTCATCTCGCCGTACCAAATAGGGGGCACGATCTTTGGCAAGTCCACCATGGCGCGCTATCCCTTGATGCACACCTCCTCTCGCTTATTTCCGTGGAGGATGAAAGGAGGCACGATTTTTGGCTTGTCCACTCGCATGCGCATGGGGGATCCCAGGCAGGTGCTGTGGGCCAACCAAGAAAAAGCCAGGAGGCAACGCTGGCTCCAGCAACGGATGAGAAAGGGTATAAAAAGGGGACGACGTTAAACCCCATGAACAGACCGCAGCATGTCGCTCCAACTGTTTGACGTGCCCGATGTGGATTATCGGTACGAAGCCTCTCGGGAGGTGGAGTTTCAACCCGCCTTGACAGGCATCCAGCCCATCACGTTCTCCATCCCGGGCTCCGACGATTATTACGATCCCAATTCCCTCCGATTCAAAGTCAAAGTACGCTTGACGAATCCAGCGGCTGGGTATACAGGCTTGGATGCAGGTCTGCTCATCTCCGATGCCAACGAAACGAGACACGTCTACTGCGTCAACAATTTTGGGCATTCCATCTTTCGAGATATCACCCTGAGCATGAATGGCGTCCTCATGACAGAACAGAGCAACACCTACCATTACAGAGCCTACCTAGAAACCCTCCTGAATTACAACCGAGAAGAAGGAGCCACCAAGCTAGCCCCCCAAGGGTGGGTCAATCAACTCAATGTGGTGAATGTCATGGGAGCCACCGCCGCCAATTGGGATGTGCCCACCAATGCCAATTGGAGTGGCAATGCAGAATTGCGTGCCTTGACCTGCCGGTTGCTGAGTGAACATTGGCACACCTTCCTCACTCAACCCCATTTGCCACCTCTCAGAACAGGCAAATTGTTGGTCCCCAATGTCCAGATGGACTTTGAACTCTTCCTCAACCCCAACACCGTCTACTTGATGGGCACCCCCAACAAAGGCACCTTGATCGCCAAGAAATTTCCAGCCATTCACCCAGAAGACATCAAAGTCACCTTGCTGATGAGAAAAGTGACCTTGAATGCCAGTGTCTATGTGAGACTGCAGAAAGAAAGACAGCTGGGCAAACAAATTGCCCGCTACCCCGTGGTGCGGAGGGAAATCCGTACCTTTTCCTTCGATGGACGAACCACCCAGTGGGAACAAGACAATGTGTTTGTGGGTCGATTTCCTGACCGAGTGATGCCTTCAATGGAAACCTGCAAAGATACCCCTTTGCCTTTGAAAAGTTTGGTGTCACCCAAATACGTCAGACCTTGAATGGAGAAGAATACCCTTACAGAACCCTGCAATTGACTGGAGATCAAGATTATGAAGATCTACTGGGGTACGATCGATTTCTACGAGCCATGGGTGCCTACACTGAAGACAAGATTCCCATGCTGTTGCCTAGTGATTGGGGACAAGGCAAGAACTGCACGTTATTCATGTTCAACAATGTACCCAGTGAAAAAGCGGATGACCCCCAGTATCGCAACCCCCGTCAATCGGGCAATGTGCCACTGATCCTTGATTTTGCGGCTGCGGTCGGTCACAACATCACTGTGTTGGTCTGGAGTGAGTATGAAAACATGTATGAGATCAATCATCTGGGAGGTATAAAGTACAACATCAACGCGTGAGGTGGCCTCAGAAGACAGAAGACACCGGGCATGGAGTTTGTAGCGCTCAGTGATACGGTGTTGCGGACCCTGGCCCTCGAAGATCCCCAATTACGACGCGTGTTTCACGGCGTGTACCCGGCCGACCAGTTACCCCGCTCACCCCCTACGTCGGTCCGTCAAGCCTACATTGTCAACACCGATCCTGCGGGAGAACCGGGACAACATTGGCTGGGCCTGTGGACGGAACAGAACAAGTGCGACGTTTTTGACAGTTATGGTCTCCCCCTGCACGTGTACACCCACCCCGACTTGCATCAATGGTGGGGTCAATGGAAACATCTGATTCGCAGTGACCAGACCCTGAAAGCCCTGGAGAGTCAGACCTGTGGCCATTATGCGTTATTTTTCCTGAAAGCCCGAGCGCAAGGCCAGTCGTATCAAGACTTTTTGAGTCAATGGAGTTGCGACAATTTAGTGTTGAATGATCAGAAAGTGGCCGACCAGTTGAAACGGGTGATTAAACAGGAACTCCAAGATGAAGTCGATGCCCGACCAGACGGGGGGAAAAAGAATGTGAGCCGTCAGGCCTTTATGCTTTGTAATCCTTGTGAGTGTTAAAATAAAAACCCATAAAACGACGTGTGCTGTGAAAGAGTGGTCATTTGTCGTTCATCATGATTACGCGAGCCGATGTCCAGCGTGTGATCGAGGCGTTCTTAGTAGAAGAATCCCTGTATTGGTGGTTACACCCCATCGAACGGGTGAACACCGTCCAGGGGGTGGATGCGTGGGATGGGTATCATTGGCTGGTGGCCTGCCAACTGGCGCAAGACCAAGATTGGGTCTCCCTCAAACAGTATATGGACACCATGGGTGAAACGCATTTAAGAGAGACCATGGAACATCTCATTCAGTTCGAATCGCCACGCCTCTACCGCGAGTATTGGACGGCATGCCCAGCCACAGACAACGACGACGACGACGACGACGTGCCTCCTCCCGACGACCCCGCTTTCGTCAAAACGGGCGGGGGATCATGAGCGTGTTGGCCAAATCAGCTAAAATCGGATATAAATTGGGACGTAGCAAACGGTATAAACGAATGGGAGCCAAAGGGGCCACGGGTCATTATCGACGTCACCCTCGACCGTGGGAAACATGATCCGACACCCCAGCAGTGTGATCATCGCGGGCCCCTCGGGCAGCGGCAAGAGCGAGTTAGTGGAACAATGGTTACGGTACCTCAACGTCTTTCAAGTCAAACCCCACAAGATTGTGTATGCGTACGACCGATGGCAACCCCGGTTCGATCGGATGCAAAAGAAGGAGGGGATTCAGTTTCATCGCGGGTTACCGGACCCCCGTCATTTGACCCAATGGTTTGGTCGAACGCGCGGAGGGGTATTGGTGTTGGATGATCTGATGGAAGAAGGGGGACAGGACAAACGCGTGTTGGATTTGTTCACCAAAGATTCCCATCATCGCAACATCACCGTCTTGTATTTGACGCAAGATTTATTTCCGCCTGGCAAATTTTCCAAGACCATTAATCGCAACGCGCATTACATTGTGGCCTTCAAAAATCCCCGGGATCAAACGGGCATACGGACTATTTTACTGCAAGCCTTTCCCGACCGATGGCGTCAAGTCTTGCGCCTATTTAAACGCGTCACGTCCCGTCCCTTTGGCTATTTGATGTTGGATGTGCATCCGGCCTCGGATGATCGCTACCGCCTGTGGAGTCATTTAACGCCCCGGGAAGGCAAGGCGCAAGTGCATACCCTGCCCGTGGATGCCCCTGCCGTTCGACAACGAACTGCAACGAGAACTCGCCAGGGTCCGCCGGCAAAGAGAAGGCGGACAACATACTGAGTTAGCGACCCGCATGGACACCCCCACCTTCTCGCCCGCCGGGGTGGGTTCCCCCACCGCACCTCCTCCTGCCCTCCAGGATCTCAGCAGCATGACGGACATGGTGACCGAATTGACCCACCCGGTGGATCGAGCCCAATTGGATCAAGAGATTGAGGATTTTCAATTGACCTACCCGGTCAATGTGGACGATGCTTTGAATGCGTTTACGTTACCACCCGTGGCAGGCACAGGCACTGCCCCCGCCACCACCACCACCACAGCACCACCACCACCCGCCATCACCACCGCTCCCACCACCACCGCCACTCAAACCCGCCCTACCACGTCCACCCGAACCCGCCCCACGGCCACCACCACCACCACCACCACCTCCAGCTCCAGACGACCCAGACCACGACCTGTCACCACCGCTACCACTACTACGGCTCCCTCCCGCCCCTCCACCAGTCGCCGCAGTGCTGGGGCAGGGACCAGGACCACCACCTCTACGGTGACGACCCCGACAGGACGCCCCACCATCGCCGCCAAACAACCGCGACGACGTCCCCGCGTGCCCTCCCCACCGTCCCCGGATTCCCCCCCTCCGTCAGATGATGAGGATGAAGATGATGACGAGGATGATCGACGGCGGGGATTAAGGCAACGGTTGGATTTGCTCAATGAAGATGCTCAAGAACGGGCTCGAGGGAGGCGCATTCGCAATATCACGCATACCAATACCGTCACCACCGTGTATGAAGAGGGAGGGCGACCTTCGGTACGACGCACGTCCACCCGAACCTCCAGTCCAAGCCCGCCCCCTACACCACCCCGCCAAGGCCGTGGCCGAGCCCGTGGACGGGGTCGACGACCGTGAACAGAAAAAAAGATATAAAACCAGGGTCCTTCCTTCTACCGTCTCAAAAACCATGTGTGGCCGATGTCGAAGTGGTATGGCCCCTAGACGCAAACGCAAACGCACCACGACCCGACGTCGATCCCCCGCCAAACGACGAAGGGGTCAAGTGGGGGGTGTCGGACCCGGCCTACCTATCGGGATTCTCAAAGCTGGTTATGAGATCACCAAAGCCATCGGGGATCATCAAACCAAGCGGGCCATCGCCATTGCCGACAAACGCACACAAGAGTGGGAATCGGGTAAACGAAAACGGTATGCGGGGGAATCGTTTAATTGTTGTCTCCTGTGAAAAAAAGTATAAAAGACAAGAAGCGTGTCCTCCGTCGGACAGACAAGGGATCCTCATGCCTTGTGGTAGACGAAAACGACGCCGAAAGCAACGAGGGGGCATTCTCCCATTATTTCTCATCCCCGCGGCCGTGGCTGCAGCCAAGGCGGCGGCGGCCGGAGCCGTCAGTGGTGCCGCGGCTTATGGCACAAAAAGAGCCATTCAAGCAGCGACGCGCAAGAAAAAAGTGGGCAAGATCAGTGCAGCGCATTGGGCGGCCAATAAACGACGGGTCCAGCGGATGTTACAACGAACGGGTTTGCCTGGACTTCGCACTTTGAGGCACCTATAAAAGAACAACCTTTGGACTAAGACTTTATTGAACGATGGTCCGTGGACCCAATGGACGCCGCCACCGTTATGTCCCCCGAAAACGACGTCGTCGACGCGGTCTGCAACGCGGAGGTGAGCTACCGCTGTTGGCAATGGCTCTCTCGCCTTTGTGGCTCAGGAAATACAAACCCAGGATCCGTCTTCGTCGACCGGACTAGACCACCCCGTAAGGCCATTACGTTGTCGTTAGAGTGGACTGAGGAGATCGAGGCCGCGTTGTGTCAGCGATGTCGACGTAATATGCAACAGCATTATCATGGGGAATTGTGTCGCCAGTGTGGGGCCCAGTTTACCATAAATAGAGCTGGGTCGTGGCAATGTCTCAACCTTCAGCATGGCGTGGCGCATGGAACGTCAAGCCCCGTTCTTGAAAAGTGTCTTACAAGAAGCCAATCAACATAAACGACAGGAATTGTTGCGGATGGCCAATGCGGATCAGATCAATGCCATTAGTGAATTGGTGATGAATACCCTCCGTGGCACCGTCTCCCGTTCCCGACACACCATCACGTTGCTCAAACCCCACGCCCAGAGTTTACGCGCCATGGCCAAACCCGCGCATTCGGTGAAACGACGACGCGCCATCATTATGGCTCAAAAAGGTGGCGCCCTCTGGCCTGAACTCTACCGATGTTATAAACGTTGCATGCGCTAAAGGAGACACGTCAGTTGCACCATGGAACCCGAGATGGTGAGCACCACGGTGGACAACGCCCCTGCTTTTTTACAATTGAGAGACCAGTACAAGCAAGAATTGGTGGAAGATACCCGCTTGACCAAAGCCGTCGATTTGGCCGCCAAACAACATGTGCTCCTGACCAGCGATGCCCCGATGCCTGGAAACGGCCTCAACTCAAAGCCGTGAGCCGTCAATTACGCCATTGGAACAAAAAAGTGCGCCAACCGTTTGGGGCCCCGGCGGGTGGTGTGAGCGCCGCAGGGGCCACGACCCCGGGCGACGATGATTTTGAGGCGGGGCCTATGCAAGCGTGTTTCACGCAATTGGTCAAGGCGACCCAGGGTATAAAACAAGGGTCCACGCCGGGTGGGCCCAGAAAACCACCGGTCCCGCCCAAACCGAACATCACCCCCAGTGCCAAAAAGAAACTCAAGTTTACGCCCCAGGTGAGAAGTGCAGACTTGGCAGAAGGGTTGCCTGGTACTTCAACCTCGACCTCGACATCTTCTACGCTCTCTCCAGCTATTAAGGGAAAACTCAGAAAGAAAGCGGCTGAAGTGACCAAAAAGAAAGCCGCAGGTCTGGCCAAGAAAGCCTTAGATTGGAAATCGTGGAAAACCCCGTGATGGGACGGAGACGCCGTGCGGCTGCGCCCCGTACCCGACCGAGGCGACGACGACCCTCGCAACGCGGGGGCAAGTTATTTGATGTGCAAAACCTCCTCAACAAGACGGGCATTGAATTTCATTGGCCCGGTTATCAGTACATGGGACCTGGCACCCATTTGAAAAAACTTTTGGCCCGTGGGGATCCCGGTATCAACCGGTTAGACAGGATTGCGAAAGTGCATGACATGGATTATGATAAAGCCAAGACCTTGAAAGATGAATGGGTGGCGGATCGCAAGATGATTGCCAAGATTGATCAACTCCCTGGTCGCAAAACCCTGACGGAGCGCATTGTTAGACGCATTATGAAAACCAAACTCAGATTGGGCATGTGAACACACTCATAAAACAAGACCACATTGTTGACATTGTTAATAGACATGATTTAATAAAAACTTTGGTTCTTACAAATAATGATGCATTTGTTGCAACGCCTCAGCACGAATCGCTTGTACTCGGTCCTCTTCAGGCTCAGCGTCGGCCCAGTCTAACGGCAACCACGGGAGGGGAAAGGGACGCTTTAATTGCTCGTTCAACCCTTGACATCGGATTGACTCGACCCGATTCTGATACTTTTCTTTCTGTAAAGCTCTCCACCCGTCCTCGCCCAAAGCTCGCCGTTTCTCTGGCATGAGTTGTCGCCGCCGCGCATTCAGCCGTTGTTTGTAGGCCTCGTAGGTCCCCTCCTCCTTCATTTTCGCCATCCAGTTTTTTTGGCATTGCGCGTTCCTGCGTTTGACTTCATTACGCTTCTCCTCCGACATGCCATGGTAGCGTCGCATGCCTTTCTGGACCTTTTTTTTTTTGAAGGCCTCGTACTCCCCGTTAGCTTTCATCCGCGCCATGCGTTCGTGGTAGCGTCGTCGGTGAAGGGCCTTCACCTCTTCAATGCCGTTCACGGCCGCATACTTCCGTTGCCGATACAGTTTTTGGTTCCGTTTATTCGTCTCGGGGTCCCGCTTTTTCTTGGGTCGCTGGCTCGATCCGGGCGTATCCATAGTCCACTTCCAGTAATCGGGCGGCACACACGTCTGCTAAGGCCCGTAATTTTCGGAATGGGCCCTCTCTGGTCTGTCGATCCCTAGCACGACGGTCCCGCTGCTGCTGCACAATACGTTCGCGGTGACGGTGATAGTAGTCCCGATTCAATAAGCGTACATAGGCCGCGTTTTTGGTTCGATATCGGCGGCAGGCCAGTAGGTTGGATTCACGGGCTTGCGCTTTCTGTTCTGGCGTCGGGGCTGGTTTGGGTGGACGGGGTGGTTTCAGCTTCTTTTGGGCCGCCCGCTTTTCACGTTTCTGCTGTAACAATCTCTCTTTGTTCTTGAGATACCACGCGTGCTTCAACTCTTTCGCTTTCTCTGGATTTTTGTTGGGCATCTCGAACGCAACTGACGAATGTTCTGGACGATGGATCTTATCTAGGGTGTCCTCCACCAATCACCGATCTCGGTCCAGGCCCAGAGGAGACTCGAGGAGTCTGTACCCATGGGGGGATCACCCCTGATCTTCCTCCTGTCGATCAAACCCCCCTCACCTGACTCTCACCTGAGCTTTGTCTACCAATCCCAGTTCGTGAGAGATCACGTGGTTCGGTCTATAAAAGTCCACGTCCAGCGCGGGAAATTCAAATTGTTGCCGCTGTCATGGCGGAGGAGTATCTCTTGAGTGATGACGAAGAGGGGGATGCTCTGTTGGACCGCGCTTATGACCGGTGGGAACAGTTGGGAGGAGCTGCCGCCCGTGGCCCTCTCTTTCAATTCAGCATGCAACCCATTGGCCGACGACGCCGCTGGCGTGATGTGGTGGAGCGGGCGCAATTCAATGCGCAGTTACGACAATTGCGGGATCCTGTCCCTGGGGATAATATTGGTATGGCGTTAACTGAAGCGCTCCACCAAGCCATTGAAACAGAACTCGGCCGCGAGCAGCGACCTGCCCATCATTTTGTGAATTTTGCCATTACGGCTCATGGGTTCACCCACGCCTATCAAACCGCCAATTTTACCGTGGGGGAGTTTTTACAGCGTACCGCTCGTTTGGATGAAATGTTAGCCACGTTGGCTGGGAAGTTGAACAGCAATGAAGCCTTCAACCCTGATCGTGGGTTCCAAGTGGATGTGGTGTTTGTCTCTATGCCCGGCCCAGGGTCTGGTCGACATAAACAACGCAATGTCGGACGTTACTGCCTGGATCGAGACAACAAGAAAAAAAAATGTATCATCCCTATTCGAAACAGAGATGCCTTATGCTGTGCCCGCGCTATCGTCACCATGCGCGCCTATTGCCACAAAGATCAAGGGGTGGATGAGTTTCGTCAATGGGAGAATCTGAAAAAAGGGTGTCCTGTGCAACAACGTCAAGCCCAGGCCTTTCATCAACAAGCGGGTGTAGCTGAGGGTCCCTGTGGTTTACCCGAGCTTCGCCAATTTCAGCAAGCGTTGGGGTCTCAATATCAATTGCTGGTGATGACCCGGATCAAGCCGTTCTCTCTGATCTTCAAAGGACCTGATGCCCCTCATAAGATTCGTTTACTGAAATCCAATGATCATTTTGATGGCTGCAAGTCCTTTCCTGCGTTTGTCAACCGTTCCTATTATTGTCTGGACTGTGAACGGGGGTTCAATACCAACGATCGTTCTAATCATACTTGTCAAGGGAGACGCTACACTGCGTGTGGTCGATTTGACTGTCCGGATTATGTGCGTGGCACCCGCCCCACAGACTATTGCCCCTTCTGTCATTGCAAGTTTTATGGTGGTGATTGTAAACGTTATCATGTGGTCAGCAAACAATGTCAATCCATCAAAACTTGTCTCAAGTGTCAAGCCCAGTACACCGTGGTTCCCAACAAACGTCACCAGTGTGGGCATGCCAAATGCCAGGTATGTCAGGAATGGGTGTCTATCCAACACCACAAGTGTTACATTCAGCCCGTGGTGGAGGAACAAGAGACTGAACCAACAGAGGAGGAGGGAGGTAGCATGGTGGCGCCACCTCCTCCCCTGTTTGTTTATGCGGATTTTGAAGCTATGCAAAATGCGGAAGGCGTATTTGTAGCCAATTTGTTATGTTATTCATCCAGTGAAGAAACAACCATTCATGTGTTGGACGGGGAGGACTGCGCCCTACAATTTTTGCGCGATTTGGATGATCTCACCGACCTCCCGGACCAAGAAGGTGAACGGGAAATTCTCGTGGTGTTTCACAATTTGAAAGGCTTTGACGGCATGTTCATTTTGCACGAACTGTACCAGCAACAACGCGAGGTGGTGGAACAATTGACCGTGGGCGCCAAAGTGTTGTCCTTCAAGAGCGGACCCCTCAAATTCATTGACTCGTTGTGTTTCTTGCCTATGCCGCTGGCCTCCTTTCCCAGCACCTTCAATTTAACCGAATTAAAGAAGGGCTTCTTTCCTCACTTGTTCAATACCCCCGATCACCAACAGTACGTGGGGCGTATCCCCGATTTGGAGTTTTACGATCCCGAGGGCATGATGGTCAAAAAGAAAGACGAACTGACGCGTTGGCATGCGGACCAAGTCCGTCGTAACGAGCGCTTTGATTTTCGTCAAGAAATGATCGACTATTGCAAATCAGATGTGGCTCTCTTAAAAGCGGGGTGTGAAGCCTTTCAACAAGAATTCGAACAGCAGGCTGGTTTCAACCCCATGGCCAAGTGCATGACCATCGTCAGTGCCTGCAACCTGTATTGGCGCAAACACCATCTGACTCCCGACACCATCGCCGTCGAACCTCTAGGGGGCTGGCGAGGCGCCCAGGTCAATCAATCGCTCAAGGCCCTACAATGGCTCTATTATCAAGAACACCTCATTCCCAAAGAGGGGGCCAGTGCCGACCGCCTTCGACACGTTCGTAATGGGGGCGAACAGTCGGTTCGGACCACCGCCAACAGTTATTTCGTGGATGGCTACGATCCCCTGACCCGCACCGTCTATGAATTTCATGGATGTCTCTACCATGGCTGTCCCCGCTGTTATCCCAACAGACGAGCCAAGCATTATGCGGTGCCGGACAGAAGCGTGGAAGAACTCTATCAAGCCACGCTCTCCAAACGCATGGCCCTGCTCCGAGCCGGTTATACGGTGATCGAAATGTGGGAGTGTGAATGGGACCAATTGGTGGACACAAATGAAGCCGTCCAGCGTTTCCTGAATTCGTTCGATCTGGTACCACCCCTGGAACCCCGCGAAGCCTTCTTTGGGGGTCGAACGGGTGCCGTGGCCCTGCATGCCGTGGCTGGGGAGAATGAAGAGATACGTTATGTGGATGTCACCTCCCTGTACCCGTGGGTGAACAAAAACTGCCCTTACCCCATTGGACATCCCAAGATCATCACCCAACCCGTCGACCAGTCCCTGGCATCGTATTTTGGTCTGGCCACCGTGGACATTCTTCCCCCCGCTGGCTTATTCCACCCGGTCTTGCCTGTACGCGGTGGCCAAAAGCTCACGTTTCCTCTCTGCCGTGCCTGTGTCCAGACAGAGCAAGCCCAACCCATGTTAAGCAGAACCCATTATTGCCCTCATTCTGACGCCGATCGCACGCTACGCGGGACCTGGTGCACGCCCGAACTCGTCAAAGCCGTCGAAAAGGGGTACACCCTCATCAAGATCCACGAAGTCTGGCATTTTCCCCCCGAACAACGCCAAACAGGTCTTTTCGCCCATTACGTCAACACCTGGCTAAAATTGAAACAAGAATCAGCGGGGTGGCCCAGTTGGTGTCAGACCCTCGAACAGAAACGAGACTACATTCTTCGTTATCAAGAGAGGGAGGGCATCCGTCTGGACATTAGCAGTATCGCCAAAAATCCCGGACGCAAGGCTACCGCCAAGCTCATGCTCAACAGTTTCTGGGGCAAATTCGGCGAGCGCATTAACAAACCCACCACCGTCACCGTCCAAAGCCCCGCCCATTTGTTCCGACTCCTTTTCGATGCCACCCTCGATATCAGCACGCTCCGCCTTTGTACCGACGATATCCTGGAAGCCGTCTACACGAGTGTCCAAGACAATGCCGTCAAAGGCACCAAAACGAACATCTTTGTGGCGGCTTTCACCACGTGCCATGCTCGACTCAAGCTCTACGAGTCCCTGGACACCCTTCAACAACAAGTCCTCTATTATGATACAGATAGTGTCGTGTACAAGTGGCGTCCCGGTCAACCCAGCATTGCCACCGGGGATTTTCTGGGGGATATGACGGACGAACTGGATGGAGACGTCATCACTGAGTTTGTTTCTGGGGGCGCCAAGAATTATGGGTACCAGACCCGTGGAGGCAAAGTGGTGTGCAAGGTACGCGGTTTCACGTTGAACGTCCGTGGCTTCGCCATTCTCAATTTTCATACCATGAAAGAGAACATTCTTTCGGAATTAAACTCGCCTCAGGACGCTCGCCGAAATTTGAACATTGTCAATCCCTATCATTTCACACGAGATCTAGAAAAAAAACGCATTCAAGTGGTTCGGCGCGTCAAGCAGTATGGGTTGGTGTTCGACAAGCGCGTGATCGATGTGGCCACTCGATCCAGCTATCCCTATGGTTACGAGAGGATTGGGAACGAACTTGACCTCCTATTAGATTTGTAAAATAAGGGCGTGACGTCATTAGGACCTCACACACGTCCCGGATGTCATTTAGGGTTCAGTCGAGATGCGTTCAATAAACCAAGACAGTGAGTTGGTTCTCTATACAGTGTGTGTGTGTGTGTTTCATTGACTTCCGGGGAACGGGAGGGGTCTGGGACCCATAAACCCACATCCTGCCCTCTGTTTGGTCGAAATAGGTCACGTGGTACAGAAACGCGTCATTTGACGTCACAAGGGTCACGTGGGCTAAAATGCTGCCTTCTGATTGGTCGAGAGACAATCTGCTGCGCTCTGATTGGCTACTGCTTATTGTAGCCTGGTTGACTACTAGTATCCTCGATGCATAGGCAACAGGTTGTACATACATACGTACATACATACATAAACTTTATTTCTCCTCGGATTTTAGTGTAGCTTACATAGCTAGTATCTCCGATCCTAACTAAATTTAAAAGTTACAACATATATAATATAATATTAATTAATGTATTATTAACTAAAACCGTGCACTAACAATTTGCGCTTAAATTCACTAAAATGTACAGTCTTTCTAAAGTGATCAGGTAGAGAATTCCAGTTCTTAACAGATGAATAGCTAAAGGAATGTAGACCATATGTGGTTGTAGACGGCTTAGGAAGTGATAAAATATTAGTACCCCGTAGGGAGTAAGCAGTAGATCTTAACTTGATCAGTTGTTTTAAATAGCACGGATATTTACCAAAATGGAGACATTTGAACATACAAATCATCTTTTTTTGTATCCTCCTGTTGGCTAAACCACACACACCAGCCTTGCCTAGAAGAGCATCATAGTTCGAGTCCCAGTCCTTTAAAACAAATCTTAAAATACGTCTATTTAAGGTGTCCAGTTTGACAGAATCTTCTGAATTACAAAAGTGCCATATCATTGAACAGTAGTGAAAATGGGGTAAGATAAACGCTCTATAAAGGCGAAGCATTATTTCAGATGAGATAAGTTTGCCAAATCTTTTGAAGAAACTGAACTGATTGTTTATTTTTTTGCATACAGAGGATATGTGATCCTTGAATTTAAGTTCATTGTCTAGAGATATTCCAAAAAGATCCAGGCATCTTGTGGTTAAAAAGGAGAAAGGGTAATCGGTTTTGCCAAGAACCATCCCTTGATGTTTAGCAGGGTTTGCTTTCATCCCATTGTCTTCGAACCATTTATTTGCTATTTGTACATCATGATTGATCCGCCGTTCCAAGGCCACTGGGTCTACATCAGATGAGAGCAGTTGGCAGTCATCGGCATAAGTGTTTAATTTTACAGACTTAATGTGAAAGATGAGGTCGTTGAGGAACATGTTGAAAAACATGGGCCCCAGGACGCTGCCTTGAGGCACGCCCCGCTTCACACTCCTCCAATCCGAATAAGTATCACCAATTTTCACTCGCTGCCTTCTATCCGTCAAGTAGTCACCGATAAGGGCGCAGCTGGATTCGTGTAAGCCATACGCTTTCAGTTTTGCTAATAGCAAAGCATGAGGTATGGTGTCGAAAGCCTTTGACAAATCCATTGATATAACCGCCACGATCTCTTTATTGTCTAGACTGCGCCTCCAGTCCTCAGTCAGCCTAAGTAAAGATGTCTCACAGCTATGGTGCCTCCTGTAGGCAGATATGTATTCAGACAATATGTTCTGGTAAAAGTCGCCCATTTGAGCTGAAAGTAGCCTCTCAAAAACGTTATTGAGCGCAGGTAATACGGTCACTGGTCGATAATTGCTTTTGCTTAGTTCATCGTCCTTTTTAAATAAAGGAGTAACTTGACCTAATTTCAAGCGCGACGGATACTGTCCTGTCATAATCGAGTGATTCATTATTGCAGCTATAGAAGAATTGCGTTGGCAGACTCTTTTACCAGTCGCGGTGGTATTCCGTCATAACCACAGGATTTACGGGAGTTGATTTTGAGTAACAAAGCTTCCACTTGGGTTTTATTAGTATATTGAAAAGCAAAATTATTTCTCGCAGCGATCTGCTCATTGTTATTAAAAATCGCCTCAATGCTAGGATGTGCATCAAACCCTTTTCCATGAATCTGTTCAGTAATCTCTGGCACGCCGTCCGCGATGTTCACGAAATAACTATTAAAAAGCTCCGCTATAATGCACCATCAGGTCCAGGTTGCAGTAATGCAGCTCCCACACCCACTGAAGAAGCGTCACACTGTAGAACTAATTCAGCCATAGGATCATAGTGACGTAAAACCGAATCAGAGCACAGAGCAGCCTTGATGTTATCAAAAGCGTCCCGTTCCAGTTTTGACCAACTCCATGGTACCTCCTTACGAAGTAATCCGTACAAAGGTGAAGCCAACTTTACAAAATCTGGCACAAATTTACTTATAAAATTGGCTGATCCAAGGAATGACTGTAATTCAGAAACATTTGTTGGAGGTGCTGCATCCTTTACTGCCTGCACTTTGTCATCAGTCGGTGAAATCCCAGCAGCAGAAATGGTAGTACCAAGATACTCTACTTTATCCAGCATGAAAAATAATTTATCAGGGAGAAGCTTAAGACCGCAGTCCTGTAATCGTGTTAGTACTCGATGAAGGTTTTCCGGATGGACTTCATCTGATTCTCCAGAAGTAAGGATGTCATCAATACGGACACAGCAGCCTGGAAGGTCCTTAAGGACATTTTCTATAGTGCGTTGGAAGATTGACACAGCACTACTCACTCCAAAAGTCAGGCGCTTGTATTGGCATAAGCCCAAATGAGTGTTAATTGTGGTGTATTTTCCGCTTTCTGGCGTAAGCTCTAGTTGATGGTATGCTTGAGAAAGGTCAATCTTAGTGAATTTTTTCCCCCAGATAATGTACTCAGCAGTTCCTCCAGAGTTGGTATGGGTATTGTTCTAGGACTGAAAATTTGTTGATGGTGACAGAGTAGTCCCCACAAATTCTCAGGTCCCCATTTGCTTTAACAATGGGGACTGTAGGTGATGCCCACTCGGAATGCTCCACTTTCTCAATGATATCCTCTGCCACCAATTTCTCCAAGGCTTTTTCATACTTGGACCGAATTGCAAATGGTACTACTCGTGCTTTGGTAAACACAGGGCTTTCATCACTTGCTCGCAATGACACTTGGATTCTGTTAAGTTTTCCCACTGAACTGGTGTCAAACAAATCAGAGTACTGCTGAACTATACCCTCAGCTGCAGTTGAAATCGTACTAAAAATGTTCTGACAAGGTAATGTAAACTTGGACATCATGTCCCGCCCCAGTAGTGATGGTCCCTGAACTACACGAATTAACAAGGTACCCACCTGGTCTCCAACTTTGACATCCATTTCCTTCTCACCTAGACACTGGATACTGTCCCCAGTATAGCTTTTCAAAAGCACTGTAGGGGGTTTGAGTGTAGTTACTTGTCCTCCGGTTTTGGTAAAATCAGCAAAACTCAACAATGTCACAGAACTGCCCGTATCAACTTCCATAGGGACTTCCTGGTCTTCAATGGTAACGGTAAGTTTGTATAAGGCCGGTGTAAATGACTAATTTTCAGAAGATTTCACACTTTTCACATAAACTGTACAAGAAGGGACTGAATTCTCGTGCTCCTCCTTGGTACATGTTCCTGATGTTGGAGCAGCTGTTACTTGGTGAGTGGTGTTGTTACCACCAAATTCTTTCTTTTTCTTGAAGCATGCCTTAGCCAAATGCCCAGGCTTCCCATAGTAATTACAAGTAGATTCGTCATGACTGCACTTGTCAGCCAAATGTTGTGGAGAGCCACACCGTAAACACTGCTTTCCTCCCACTTTTAACTTAGGATCTGCTTGCCTTTGGCTTCCCTGTGCAGGAAAAGATTTCTTGTGAACAGCATTTACAGGCAGAATTCCAGCACTGGAAGTGTCGGAGTTGCCCTGAAGTAACTTAGATTCCTTCCCAGCCAGTTCATCGGCCTAAGCGACCTTGAGGCCTACTCTGGGACCTTAACTCGCCTTAACTCGCCCTAACTCGCAATTGAGATTATGTTCAAATTTCCTTATCTCGCCTTAACTCGCCTAAACTCGCATTACCTCGCACAAACTCGCCCAATCTCGCCACTGCCAAGTGGATACCAATGTTAATATCTCATCCTACTCTCAGTGTAATTTCACAATTACTCCATAAAGGGAAGACGCCAAAGAATACAAATTCCAACAGTTTAAAAGAGTGATTTTTAAGGAAAACAGGGTTTTTACCTTTAAAAAATTATGTAATTGACCAATTTCATCCTTCTGGAATTTCCAATAGCCTCTGTGGTAAGGGTATTTCACCACTAAAGATTCGATGAGGTTTTTCTTACTTAACATTGTCATGCCTTGGAGTCACAACTGGACTGTCAATGGAACTACCAGGAACAGCCTGAACATGCACTAACTCATTGCCTAACGAAAAGGCTTCAATGCTATGCTTGCGTCATGACAAGGCCGGATGGGGGGACAGAGAAAATGGTGTACACTACAATCCCCTCAGGTCTCCTGGGACTCCCTTGGTCGGACTTAACCAAGAAAGCATGGGATCAAACTTTGACGCATCTCAGGTAACACACAACTCCTGCACTTAGTTGTAAAGGAAGTTCTCTGTCCTTCAGAGCTTCGCTCTAACTAATAGCTGGTCCTTAAACGACTTTCCCTTGCGATATGATATTCCTTAAAGATTTCTCTTAGCCGTCGTTGGTTTTGTATAAGTTAGATATTCCCATAGTATTTTCTTCATTCTAAGTAAAGCCGCTATTTTGTAACAAATGGTAGTGGTATTTTACGTGCAGATTTGTTGCTCTGTTGAAGGGCTGTTTTCCTGTCGGCGAATTTTAACTCAGAGAGGTAGTTTCTCGCAATAGGGACCGGGTAGCCTCTTTTTACCCGGCGATTTAAGAAATCTTTGATAGTTTCCTCAAAAGTGGTTTGAGCATCAAAGGAACAGGCGTTCTCTTTTAATGAAGC